AAAATTTTCTTTAATATACATGGTATACATGCCCCCGAAGTATGATAAAAACGTTGGCTGTTTTCATTGTTTACTTTGTCTGTGGCAGCCGCTAAGGTTAGACGTGTTTTATGAGCTCGGCGATTTTTCCTTCGTTAAAAGAAATGGATCAAAGAATTTGTATCCAATTTTGCTTAAAAAATGAAATAAATTCTGTGAAATGTTAACAAAGGCCTATAGTGAGTCTGCTATAAGTAAAACAAGAGTTTACAAGTGGTATAAGAGTTTCCAAGATGGCTGTGAAGACGTTGAAGATGACGAACGCCCCGAATGCACAAAAACATTAACAACCGATAAAAACATAGAAAAAGTGGAAGAAATGGTTATAAACCATCAGAGAAGTCGCTGATGTTGGTATATCGATTGGTTCATCCCATGAAATTTTTTCGATGTTTTGGGTATGAAACGCGTGGCAGCAAAATTTGTTCTAAAATTGTTAAATCTTGACCAAAATTTTTGGCCAAAAACAATACTGTAATGAAGCCCCGCCTCCATATTCGCCAGACATGCCTCTGTCTGACCTTTTCCTATTTCCAAAAATAAAGAGAACCTTAAAGGGCCGTCGTTTTGCAAGCATAGATGAAATTAAAAGCGCATCGCTGAAAGAACTAAAGGCTATCCCAAAGATTGAGTTTTAGAAGTGTTTCGAGTATTGGAAGAAGAGCTGGCACATGAGCATAAAATGCAATGGGGACTATTTTGAAAGCGACAACATTAATGTAGACGAATAAATAAATATTTGTTTCAAAAAACTAAAATTCCCGATATTTTCTGAACACACCTCGTATATTTAAATATGTCCCCCCACCTCTGTATTAGTTTACCAAATTTTCATTAATATCCCCTTGTAACTTTAAAAAACTCCACCTGGATAGCATCTTTTAAGGTGGACAGCATGTGTCTGTTTTAAACCATGTGACATTTTAGTTTCATGAAAGGTGTATAGAACCTTAACTATTTTGAAGTTATTTAAGCAGGCGATGGAATTCGCCCTTACATATACTTTATTTAAAACCGGGTAATTGAAAACTGCACATTAAAATTCGAACAAAATTGGATTATTTAAAGCTGCCAATACACGCATAAATTTAAAAAATGGTAGGGCATATCCACACAGTAGTTAAAAATTAAAAAAATAGTTAAAACAACTCGCACAGTAGCATAAATTTTAAAAAAAGGTATGAAAAAATCGCACTTATATTTTTGTTTTTTTTTTAATTTTTAAAATTTACAAACATTTCAGAATTTTTAAATTTAAAATTTTCCATCTGGCTGATACACACAATATAAATAATTTCATTTATTAATGAATAAAATAAATAATAAATATTAACTTTAAAAACAGGGAAGTGACAATAAAACTTCATTCCGACCTTAAAATTGAAGGAATGAAAACGGCGCATTTAAAGAAAAAATTTTTTATTAAAACGTAACAATCGTAAAAGAATAAATAAAATATAATTGTTTGTTTTACTAGGATGTTTTAATTAATTCCTCGTTCATAATTTAATTAAAAACCGAAAAATTGTTTGAATTTTAAATTAATTTTGAAAATTAAACTAACCGTATGGCATGTTAAAAATTCCAGAACAACTTTTATATTTAACAAACATAAAAATTCAATTATTTTACTCGCATGTCGCGTTTCCCAGTAGTTCGAAGTTGTTTTTTATATGGCAAAATTAATAATAAATAAAATTGTTTTCGTTTGATTTTGGCTAAAAAATAATTTTAATCCGAAATTGAAATTGCTGGTTCATGTTCTTTTTGATTGAAATTTAATTAAATCAACATTTTTATTGTTAACGATAAAAATAAAAAACAATCGTTATTTATGCCATTAGGCCAAGAAGTTAGTCATTGTGCTGAGTTGGTTTACACATTTTATTTGCTAAACGATACAACGTACAATTATTAAAAGTAGGCAGTAAGGTTGGATATATCTAATAGCAAAGCAAATACAAGATTGATCAAAAAACATAAAGACAAATTTAAAAATTCAATGTTTTCACTGTAATGGCGCGCCTACAGAAATTGCTACTAATTCTTCGCACCCCACGAAAAATTCAATGAATTAAAATCCGGAGATCTTGGTGGCCACGCGACAAGTCCTCCACGACCGGTTATGAAGTTTTAAATTATAGACGCTGTCAAATTATAATATTTTTTTATATTTTATAAAATCCAATATTAGGTATATAAATGTAAAAAAATGCAGCACCTTCACTTTTGCAATTATTAAATTACGTAAAAAAATTATATTCATATAAACATAAAATTTAATAATTTTAGTATTACTAATCTGTTCTTTCAAATGATTAAATTTAAGTAGTTTACATAAATAGTAAAAGTAAAATTTTATAAAAAGAATGCAACGATTAAATAAGTTTTATTATTTATACCACCTTTAAAACATCCATTATCGACGATAATTTATCGTACATGTTTCCATGACACTATAGGTGATCTTTTAAAAACACATTGGGCCGGTTTTTCAATCGTTGGTTAAGTTTATCTTACGGTTAATTTCCTTAGATACTATTGTCAACACAATAGTATCTAAGAAAGTTAACCATAAGATAAACTTAACCAACGATTGAAAAACCGGCCCATTGCCTTTTAGTCACGGGCAGAAGTTAGCAAATTTGCCAATAAAAATACTTTTTCAATATAAAATATTTAAAATTTAAAAAGGATACTACGAATGTGATTATATCTTTCAAACCGCAACAAGACAAGTACGGACAACAAAGCTCATCATAAAAGTGAAAGGTTTCAATCTTTTCGCCGCGCGTAATACCTACCTAATCGAATAAATCTCCATGAACAGAAAGAACATGAAAAATATTCAATATGTCAAATATAACCTTGAATCTTAAGGGGTTATTCTGTCGTTGAATATTGTTGGTACGTATTAATAGTATAATAATAATAGACTATTATTAATAGTAATACTAATATATTATGTAACAAATTTTAGTTACGAATTTAATATAGCGACGAGTGAGCTTGCCAGCGAGTACCTAATTAAATAAGTGTCTAGAAAAGTTTATAAACGAGTTGCATACTATACTTTTTAAACGATCAATAGATACATATAGAAATAAAAATAAATTAAATATTTGCATAAAGCGACATCTATAAAAAAATATTGTAACTTGCGTAGCTTGGGAAATAATTTCCACATTCTTATTTCTAAAACCTGTTGCTTACATCCCGTGACTAAAACGCCATAAAGCCACTTGTCTATGTATTTTTAACATGGAAACAAGTACGATAATGGGCGTTTTAAAGGGGGGAGTAGAAAAACATGTTTAAATGGTTTTAAAAATGTTAAGAGATCGTTCTGATTTTAAATATTGTTACTTTGTTTAATTAAAAATTACGAAATTTTTGTGTAATCAGTAATTTTTAACTTTATATTTAAAAAATTTGCAAAATATATTTATATATGCAAATTTTAAAACATTTTCAGCCCGTGACTAAAGCACCATAAAGCCATAGCTTGTTAATGTGTCTTTAAAATATTAATTAGGGTCATGGAAACATGTACTGTTTAAAGGTGGGAGTATACTCTATAGAAAAAAATATGTTTTATTTTAAAGCTGGATAATCCAGCCTAGATTGTAAACACATTTCTAACAGGTTAAAATTTGTTAATTTACCGTTATAAAATATTTAATTTTTTAAAAGAAACAAAAATTAAACCTAAAAATGTTGTCAAGATTGTAAAAAATCGTAATTATTATTATAATAGTATTTTCGTATACTTTTAATACAAAACTAAAATTTAGGTAAATTTTTAGTACTTACCTATAATAAAATAATAGAGTAAAATAAAATGATAAAATAAAAATCAAATATAATAAATAATTAGATAATATAGTATATTATGTATCAAGTTTGATAAACGCCATTTTATACACGAATTTAATTTAGGCACGAGCGAGCTTGCGAGCGAGTTCTTAAATTAATGAGTGTATAGAAAAGTTTATAAACGAGGTGCATACTATACTTTTTTTACGACAAATACTTATTATTATCTTAAAATGATTTAAATCAAAAATTTGTATAGAGCGCCATCTATGAGACAACAGGGTAAACTGTCAAATGTCACATTTTTACATTTTATAAACACAATTAAAAAGGTTATAAATCGAAATGTATATTGAAAATTGACAGTTTTTTACAGTTAAAGTAAAGGAAATGTTTTATGAGGACTTTACAGTAGAGTCCGTGCCCGAATTTAAGTTATAATTTACTGCCGGCGAAATTAAAAGGTCAGTACAATGTTCATATAAACTTTTCAAATATTGGCGTTTAGAAACTATTTAATATTTTTGTATTGAGATAATAAAATAATTTTCACATTTCGTATTATTTTACAAGAAAGGCAGTTTATTTTAACGATTGTATAACATTTGACAACTGTCACCTAACTTAAAACTAACTTCAGCCCGTGACTAAAGCGCCGTAAAGCCACAACTTGTCAATGTGTATTTAAAAGGTCATGCAAACATGTACGATAAAGGGCGTTTTAAAGGTGGGAGTAGAAAAAATCCTTTTATTAAAAGGATACTATGTATATATACAGTATATATTATATATATAATATATATATATATAATAGGGGTAGCATAAAAGTTGGGAAAATAAAATGGTGGATTCGTGGTGTAATAAAAACTTGTAGAGCAAAACTTTATGTAAAAAAACAAAACCATTATTTTTTACTAAGGAATGCACGGTTTATTTCCCAACCCTTAGGTTATATTCTGTATGCCATTTCCAGCAAGTTTTATAAATTTTAAATTTTTTAAAGAATATAAAGTTTATTTATTTTTCATCCAAAATAAACACTCTTTTGCAGCCGAACGACCCCTTAAGCGCGCGGTTCTTCTTCCTCGTCGAAGATGGCCAAGAAAACAATCGCCGTACGGGGCAGAAGAAACGTCGCCGCTAACCCGCCGCCGATGCGCGCACATTTCGCTTCGTCAGTACGGTTTCGAGACCCGTGGCGAGAGCAGCTGGCAGCGTCGCGCTCGCACTACAAAACGGAAACATCGCGTGAGCCGGGCAACCAAACAAATACAGTGAGAGGGTTGTTGTTACGATTGTGTTTTTGTTTCTTACTGTGCTTTTTTGTGCTACTTTAAGTGAAGCTTTTTGGAGTTATATTACGTTTACTTTGGGACAATGTAAGTTTTTTAATTTGTAGGTTATGTTTAGGGGATTTTGCGTTAATAAAAACTAACTTAAAACCATAACAAATACTTAAATTTATCTAAATTCCACTTAATCATATCTTATAAAGATAAACGTTACAAATTAATATAATATCAGTTTGTACTAACTTTATAAAATAATCTCTCGCTTTATTAATAATAGTTATATTATTTTTTATGATAAACCAAGATATATAATTAATAATTTTAATTATTATCTAGTCTAAAACGCTATTTTTAACTTTCTTATAGGATTTCATGTGACCTGTAAATTTTCCAATAGGTACAAATCCTTTAAGAAAATATTGAAACATTTTTTAGTCTTGACTGTACGCAGGAAGTGTTAATGTGTTAATTATAAGTTCGTCTACCTTTATTTAATGTTAATACAATATTTAGGAAAAAAATCGTATTTATATGCTTTATTAACTCCATGGATGGTTACAATATTTAAATATAATTGTGAAATAAACCAAAACACTTAACCGCTAAAAATATATTATATCAAAAGGTTTTTAAAAAATTTACCACGTGGTAAAACAAGAGATGCGACTTGAAAAAAAACGGTCCATTTTTTTGTTTTTTTTTCAGGTTTTTTTTTCATTGTTTTTTTCCCATTTGCCTAATTTTTTATGTTTCCAGTCCAGTTTATGGACTAAAATTAGCCACTAAATGACATTTAGTAAATGTAAATACAGTATCGCGCTTTGCACGCGCCACCACCACCGAATTGACCAATAAGGGCCGCGCTTGTTTTGATTTGGTCCTAAAAAAGTAACTAGGTACCTATAATATTTTTGATTCAGCGCTTGATTTTTCAAATAGCTACCAAAAGCACTTTTTTCATGATTTTTCAAATTCATGTAGAGTATGGATTTTTTTTTCAAAAAAACAATAGATTTTTGTAGAACATTTATTCATTGGTGAAAAGAAACTTCAAGCTTCAAATTGCTTTTCTTACGGCTCCAATACGACCATTATATCCGAAAAAACGCAAAAAATTTGAAATTTTTTTTATCCTTTAATTTTTTCTATTAGTGTAAAAGTTTTACATTGCTATTGGTTTCTAATGTGGAAACTACCAAATAATAAGAAATCAGATTTTTTAGTCTCGGTCAAAATTTTCAATAACGAAAAATGTAGTATATTCTACATAGGTATACATTTTACTCAAAATTTCATTTCATTCATTACTCCATTTTTTAAGATTGATGTTATTTATTGACAGATTATGCTTTATTGTAGCAGTTTTGAAAAAAAACAAAAAAAAATAGTTTTTTTCTAGTTTTTTTTTCATGTTTTTTTCACATCTGAAAAAAAAACCGCTTTTTTACATCTCTAGGTAAAACTAAAAATAATAAAAATAGTTTTGTAAACAAAGTGGAAAAAAACGACTCCTAAATGACTCCTGAAAATGTTTTTTTTTTAATACCTATTTTGAAAACCTTGGAAAATAAGCTTACTGTAAATAAAATAAAGTTGAAATTTTGGACAGGAGCGTTTCAAACGAGGTAGACGCCCAATTTTCTGGTAAAATTGATTTAAATATCGTCGACATTTTTTTTCTCAATATTAAACCCTATACCTATTTCCAAAATTCTATTTAGTAGGTATCAGCCATCGATTAAGAAACACCCTGTATACAAATTGTATAATACAATACATCCTGTATATAATATAGCGGCATTACAGGGGCTCTAGCTTACTCATTTCTTGCACTATATTGTTTATATAATTTTTTTATTATATATTTGTATATGTGTTGTGTACTTCTGTAATTGGGCCTGGTGCCTGTTGAAGGCACATTAAAAATAATAAAAAAAAAAGTTACTTTGTTGTTCCTATGGCCGTCATATTAGAATTTTACATCCATGGTTAGATCAAGAAATTCAACGATGTATCAAACTAACTTTATTCCCAAATTCTCAGGAATAACAAAGTTATAAAGGTTTTTGGTTTTGACAGGTATTTCGTTTTTTCAAATATTTTTTTTCTTTTAATGTTTTATTTTAATAGGATTGCACCCTTTATATCGATTAAGTTAAAATTTAAGAATTTTATTTCATTTAGACTTTATTGTCAAAAAGCAATTTTGTTTTATATATCTAATTTTTTTCCGGTTCAACAGTTTTAATAAATTCCTTATAAAAAATAAAAAGTCCTGGTCAAAAAAATATGTATTTACACAAAAGTCTTAATTTACATTTCTTTTTATTATTGAAATTAAAAAAATTCGTCTTGAAAACAAACGGTTAATAAATTATACGATTTCCATCCTTTCCTTTTAAAGAATATAAAAATGCAAATTTCTATGTAAATCACAAAATTATCATAATATAAAGAATCACCCACATTTAAGCATTAATATATTACCAAAGTAGGTAGTTTTAATTTCACCTATTTTAAAAGTTTAAAAGTTATAATTGTCCTGTATTTTATGTTTTAATTATGTTGACGTTTCACATTATAAGGCATAAATTTATTTTACAGTGACCTGTATTTTTATAGTTACCTACAATGATTTCGAGCTAAATGTAATAGATGAAACCACTCTTCCTATGTAATTTCAATATATTTATTTTCATATAAAATAAGAATGTACAATAAAAAATGTAAAAAAAAAATGTAATTATGATGATGATAAATAAATAAATAAATAAATAAATAAATAAATAAATAAATAAATAAATATATTATATCACGAGAACTATGAATTTATTCGGTTTATCTAGGCTCAGTGGTTTTTTGTTTGTTTTTTCTTGGAAAATGTTGAATGCAAAATAATTTAATAGGGGGGTTTTATTTTTAATTATTTTGCATGAAACTATTTTCCAAAAAGAAAAATCAAATAAAAAACTTACTGAGAATAGTTTGACAGATTAAATTTATAGGTTGAGTGATATACGTCTAGATTATTTCTCGAATTAAAGGAAACTATTTGACAATTCATAAAATCTGACGTATGTGTCAAAATTTATAAATATTTTTTTAAAGAAAATTCCATTAATTTAAGGTATGTAATAAGTAATAATTGATATTTCGTAAACTAGATAACTTATTTTTTATTGTTTTTTAAAAAATGTTTGTTAAAACTTGGAAATAACCAGTGATGTAATGTATCGAGATACATGTATCTAGATACTGGATCTAGATACATTTTATGTACCTGAAATAACACCATAAAATCGTAAACAAAAATCCAATATGGAGGCTAAAATTTAATCGCTGTTAAATAGTTCTAGTGATTTAATCGCTTATTTAAACGAAATTTATTCGAAAATTCAAGGCTTTTGATTGGTTCATATTATAATGAGGGAAATATTCATTATAATAATTTGACTTTTGAACTGCGTAAAAATATAATATTTTTATGAGTGTATAGGTGTAATATGAAAATGAGATACGCTTGAAAAAAAAATTATGACCAATTTTCAAGCTTTATTATGCAGTTTTACAAATCCGCTTATTATTAAATATGCCAAATTTTAATTAAAATGTAAATATAATAAAATCAATCAGAGGAAAGTTTTGCTTTTCGAAGTTGGCAATGCTGCAAATTGCAAATGTGTGGTTGATATTTACCGTGGGGCACACCTAAAGTTGTGAGAGAATTTATTAAACAATATGAGGAGACATTCTTTAAGTACATTAACATTACATGGTAAAAGTATAAAATATGCATTTTTAGTCGACCAGTGGTTACTTTGCAGGTAGAATTATTAAAAGGTGTAATTAACGCTTAAAATATAATTTATTACTATAAATTAAAGAATACTTATTTCAGACAGTAAGCAAACTTGAAGGTTAACCTGTAGTAGAGTATATTTTTATCTTTTTAATGTTAATGCATTAAAATTGTTTATATACTCATATTGCATAATTTTGGGGTTTTTCCGTGAATATTGATAAACATTATAAATTCCTAACAAAGGAAATAATAAACCTATTATTTACGTTGTTTGGCATCAGTGATTGGCCGATTTCAATATTCCCTGTGATTTGAACCAATCGGTTTTTAAATTGGAAGAAGGCGACTATAATAATATTTGAAATTGGTAAAAAAATAAGGTTAACCATTTGACAGATGTCAAATTTTATTTATTTATTTTTGAAAATCATTTAATTGTCTACTTATTGCAAAAGATAAAGCATAGTATTACACTCGAGATTATGCGCATTATCTCTTGTATAATAATATACTATTATCGATCATATTTTTATAAAATATAAGATTTTATGTGCAAAAATATACTTAAAAAATTTACACCGTAAATAAATACATATAAGGAGTAAGAAGCAGAAGGGTACAAGTGCAGATTAGCATGAAAATAAGTTGGGTAAGTGTAGAATTGGGTAGTTTACAGTTGTTTTTAAAAAAATTCTTATAACGTGAAAATTGTACGAGTTCTGCATATTGATTAATGCAAAGGATAATATTAAAACAAGTATCCAGACTTTTGTATATAGCAAAAACTTTCAAACTTAATAACCAAAACCCAATTAACGTGTATCATTTTTGTTTTAAATATTATTTGCGAATGTTTGCGTATTATGTTTGTAGTTTTTTGTATTTTTAAATGTAAATGTAAAATGTACAATGTAAAAGTAAACACTTAAGGTTATAAAGAAGCTCTTAAAATCATATTTTACAGCTTAAACCCGTTGTTTACTATTCTAGCATGCTATTGGCTGAAAGAAAACATTTTAATTAACTTTATCTAATTACAAAGAAGAATCTTTTTACGGCAGTCGTTAAAAATAAATACTTTATGTCTAGAGCGTAAAATGAACATTTACTTTATATAGCTGTCGAATTTCAACAAGATGTCTATAAATAATTAAACTATTAATTGGATTATACAGGGTATCCGAAAATAGTGTGAAATACTCTACACGTGGTTTCTAAAGACAAAAATGGACAGAAATATTTTTATAAACATCGGCCAGCAAATGGTATTTTTTTAATAAAATTG